AAACAAACCACTCACCTTGTACGAACCACTGATCCAGTAAAAAAACAGTTTTGCCTGACCACATGCGTAGGGAACAAGGACTTGGCAACAAGAACAGCAGGGGGTGAAAAGTGCACCGTGACGAAGACCTACAGCCTTCATCCCAACGACCACCTACAGCAATCACCAGAGTAAACTACGCAGACGCAAACAGGAGGAGTCCAGGGCGTGACATATGCTAATGACTTCTCAGAACTAATTATGATAACCCACCCTATTCTCAGAAATATAATGAATATGTAACACTTTTGATTATATAAAGAATCTGCTTAAGCATTAAGGTGTGCAAGTTAGGTGGAGCTATCCCCCTTGCACCCGGCGCTGTAATAAACACACCTGCTTTATAACTCTTCGTGAGTTGTAGGGTTTGTTTCCGCACGTCACAGGCACGCTTGGAAAAGTATGGGGACGCTGTCTGGTTATGTAGTAATAGGGTCAGGAAGGCCAAAGCGCAGCTGGAGCTGAACTTGGCAAGGGACAGAAATAATAACAACAAAGGCTTCTTTAGGTATGTCAGCCAGAAAAAGAAGGTCAAAGGAAGTGTACCCCCTCAATGAACACAACTGGCAAACTCATCATCGAACTCAGTCATCACTGGCAACCTCTCTTCTCACACCCCTCAAGTGACTGGACTGCAATATGGGGGCTGAGGGAACAAAGTCACTCTCCCTGTAACAGAAGATCAGGTTTGAGACCATCCGAGGAACCTGAAAACAAATAAGGTTATGGGACCTGATGAGATGCAACCCGGAGTCCTGAGGGAATTGGCTGATGGAGCAGCCAAGCCATTCTCCATGATATTTGAAAAGTCATGGCAGTCAGGTGAAGTCCTCAGTGACTGGAAATAGGAAAACATTGCACCTATTTTTAAAAAAAGGTAGAAAGGAGGAACCTGGGAACTACTGACCTGTCAGCCTTGCCTCTGTGCTTGAGGAGATTATGGAACAAATCCTCCTGGAAGCTCTGCTAAGGCAGATAGAGGACAGAGAAGTGATTTGATACTGCCAGCATGGCTTCATCAAGGGCAAGTCCTGCCTGACCAACCTAACAGCTGCCTTTGATGGAGTGACCACCTCAGTGGACAAGGGAAGAGCCATGGATGCCGTCTATCTTAACTTTTGTTAAAGTTAAGTCTCCCACGTGGTCTTCCACAACATCCATCTCTCTC